GGGAATCCATAAAACAGACACAAACATATTTCCAGATTAAAAACTCCATTGAAATTTACACAGCAAAAAGAGCCAATGTTAAGACAGAATTTTAGATATAGAAGACAGGATTGAAATTAGTGACCTAGAGAAGAAACATTCCTTAAAAATAGTAAGGGACAATGAGAAATCAATCTAACAGCTGCTAGATGATGTAAAGAAGAATAGCATAAGACTGATCAGAGTCAATGAAGAAATGGGAGAGAGTGCAAACAACATAAAAAACTGTTCACAGAAGTAATGGCAGAAAACTTCCCAAGCAGGGGAAAAGTAATTGACATACAGATAAGTGAGGCATATAGAACTCCAATAAGCCATGATCAAAAAAAAAACAAAAAAACAAAACAAAAAACCTACATCTAGGCATATAACAGTTAAGATTACAGAAGCCCAAAAGAAGAACAAAATTCTACAAGCAGTCAGAGAAAAGAAACAAATAACATACAAAAGAAAGCCCATAAGAATCACAGCAGACTTCTCAATACAAACCCTCAAGGTAACTAGAGCTTGGAGGGATGTATTTCAAGCCCTAAAGGAAAACAACCTCCAACCCAGATTGATGTACCCTCAAAACTATCAAAAGTGATGGAGAAATAAGATACTTTCATGACAAAGAGCATCTTAGGAACTTTAAGAATAGCAAAGCAACACTACAAAAAATTTTAAACAACATCCTAGGACAAGTCAATGAGAGTCACAACCCCAGGAAGCCCAGCAGAATGAATCCTTCAGGCATGACAAGAAATTAAATACAAAGGGGAAAGATCCAACAAAAAGAAAAAGTCATGACAAGGATAAATTAACACATATCTGTTATAACCATCAATGTTAATGGTCTCAATTCACCAATCAAAAGAAATAGACTGGCAGAATGGGTCAAGAAGCAAGATCTAACAATATGCTGCATACAAGAAACACATTTAATTCAAAAAGAAACCCATAGACTGAAAGTCAAAGGGTGGAAAACAATGTTCCATTTGACAAGAACCCCCCAAAATGCCGGAGTAGCTATCTGCTTTGCAGATCAAATGGACTTCAAAGCAACACTGATTAAGAGAGACAAAGAAGAACACTCCATCTTTGTAAAGGGAACAATCCACGAGGAAGAAATGACAATCATAAATACGTATGCACCAAATACTAGTTCACCCATCTATATAAAACAAATACTAACAGACATGAAAAATCATATAAACACTAATACAATAGTAGTGGGAGATCTCAATACCCCACTGTCACAAATAGTTCAACTAGACAGAAAATAAAAAATGAAATACTAGAACTTAATCAAACTCTTGAACAAATGAACTTAACAGATATTTACAGTGTTCCACAACACAAAATCAGAATACACATTCTTTTTGGCTGCAAATGGGTTGTTCTCCAAAATAAAACACATACTCATAGAACATGTTTAAGCAAGTGCAAAGGAACTGAAGTTATCCCCTATATATTATCAGACCATAGTGCGATGAAAGTGGAGATCAATAATAACAGAAACAACAAGAATTTCATAAACACATGGAAATTGAACAACACACTTCTGAATAACCAATGGGTCACAGAAGACATTAAAGAAGAAATCAGACAGTTTCTAGAATTAAATGACAATATTAGTACAAAATTAAATAATATAAAAATTTATGGCACACTATGAAAGCAGTCTTATGAGGTAAATTCATAGCAATGAATACACATATTAGGAAAAGAGAGCAAGCTCAAATAAACAACCTGAAGCTGAATCTCAAACTTCTAGAAAAAGAAGAGCAGAACAAACTGAAAATGCATATAAGGGGTGAAATTATAAAGATCAGAGCAGAAATTAATGCAATGGAGCCAAAAATAACAATACAAAAAGATCAGTGAAGCAAAGAGTTGGTTCTTTGAAAGAATAAGCAAAATTGACAAACACTTTGTCAACCTTATCAAAAAAAGGAAAAAGACCCAAATCCAAGCAATTAGGAATGAAAAGGGGAGAAACTATAATGGACCCAGCAGAAATCCAAAGGATCATCAATACCTACTTTGAGAACCTATACACCAATAACATGGAAAACACAGAATAAATGGATAGATTCTTAGATACATATGCATTACCAAAGTTGAACAAAGAAGACCTAAAATTCTAAACATCTCAATATCAATCAACAAAATTGAAAACGTAATTTAAAACTTACCAACTAAGAAAAGCCCAAGCCCTGATGGCTTTTCTGCTGAATTGTACAAGGCATTTAGAGAACTATTGTCACTACCATTTGAATACTTCAAAGAAACTGAAAGGGAAGCAAAACTCCCAAATTCATTCCTGGAAGCAAGCATCACCTTGATCCCCAAAGTAGAGAAAGACCCAACTGAAAAAGAGAACTATAGACCAAGCTCACTAATGAACATAGATGCAAAAATCCTTAATAAGATACTGCCAAATAAGCTGAGGATATAGTTCCGCCGCTACCTGCTTTGCAAGCACAAGGTCCCAAGTTCGATCCTTGGTATGCCCCCCAAAAAAATTAGAACAGTACTGCCAAATAGAATGCAGATCATCAAGAAGATCATACAACCTAATCAAGTGGGATTCATCCCAACAATGCAGAGATGGTTCAACATACACGAATCAATAAATGTAATACACTATTTTAATAGTATACATATTAATAGAGCCAGGGGGAAAAAAACATATGATCATCTCAATAGAGATTAATATAGTAACAGAGCCCAGGGCAAACACCATCTCAATAGATGCAGCAAAAGCATTTGAAAAATTTCAATACACATTCATAATAAAAACTCTATAAAATGGGAATAGATGGTCTCTATCTCAATCTGATAAAATCCATCTATGAAAAAATCAACAGCCAAATCATAATAAGTGGTCAAAAACTGAAATCCTTCACACTAAAATCAGGAACAAGACAAGGATCTCCACTATTACCACTCCTGTTCAATACAGTAGGAAATTAGATATATAGGTTGGAAGTTTCTGAGAGTCTAATATGAAACCAGAACCATAGTTAACGGCAAAGACAAACTGCAATCAAACAGTTAAGTATGTAAGTAAGATGAGAGTGGGATATTTAAAGTCTCAAAAAATGGTTTGTAGCAACAAATATCCTGAGAGAGTAAGACACATAGAACTAGAATCACAGGAGGCTAATATCTTTGGGAACTGCATCCTTTTCTTCAGGCTGCATTGGCCTTTAATTGTTTGGAAAGATCAGGTTTATAAAAGGAAATTTGTTACTATGGAAACAGGCTATTCAATATCAAACAGGCAGTTTAGACCACAAATGGGTAATTACTTTAGTTTTTCTTTTAATTGCATGTTTTCATGGTCTTCAATAATTATATATTTTTTTGGCTAGAGATTTCCAGTCAATAGTGTGGCAAGTCAGCAGCAACACTCATTCTAGCTGTTTTCCCCAGGTTGCTTACTATTGGGGCACCCAGACCCTGAAATTTTGTGATTTTAATACTCTGTATTTCATCCAAATGTGCAACTCATATTATTCCTGTAGTCAGCCTAGGTCACAGGAAGGTGTCTCCATCCTTTCTTTCATGGCTAACTGTCTTTAGTGAAGAACATGTTAATTTCATGTCACTTATCAATCTTTATTCCAGGCTGCAGCTAAAAATTTACAACTATATGAGAAGAAAAAACACTTGGAATGCAAAGTAATGTTATCAAAATACTAAACAAAAATTCATGTAAATTTTTACACTATAAGTATCTCCTTTGTTTGGATCATTATTCCACATTGTTAAATGAGAATACATTTATATTTTAAATAGTAGTTATTTCACTAACCTTATCCAAAAAAGCTTGTATGACTTCTTCCTGGTTGTCCATACAAGCAATATATCTATGTCTGCCAATGGAAGCAATTATCTGGGTCTCTTTTTCCAAAAGTTCACACAAAGCAGCTTTCCTTTCGACTCCAGTAAAACGTTGGTTAATGCGTGTAAGTTCTTCTTGCCGCCAGACTAGAACAATAACATGAAAAACTCTTAAATTTTAAAACCCATGTCTTTACAGAGCATTTTTACCATCACTTCCTAACAAAGGCCATTTTATTTTTTAATCATTTTAGTCAAAATTATACGTAAATAGAACGACTCACATGAATGGATGATGGATGGAGGGAAAAAAATGGAATCTGAAAGACTTCAAGCAATAAAAATAGACTGGAACAAACAGAAGCCAACGAAAATCAGCACCAATAAATGTCAAATTATGCCTTCAAGTATGCATACACACTCCCCAGCACTGAAAAGAAATATGGCCTGGGTTTTGTGGTAGCCATGAATGTGAGCTGCTCAAACTCTCCCTTGAGGAAAGAACCTCTCAAAAGTAGTAGAGGCAGCTGACAGTTCCAACTATTCAGACCTGCTGTGATGTTGGGACGGAGGTCACAATCTGCCTACAAAACTCTAAATGACTTAGAACCATGAGGAAATTAATGTCTGGCTGTGTCTTCCTAAAGGTGCACTCTTCTGCAGTCTCTCATAACAGCGCTGACCTTTCAGCTGCCTCACTTTCGGAACCTCTGTAACCCATTCTTTTTCCTTCACTCTCTCAAGTTCCTCGACTGTCCAGCATCATCTAGGTCTAAAGATTTCCCTTGCTTTCCCTTCCCCTCTCCCCTCTCATTTCTTATTCCATCTTGGTGTCTGCTTCTCTAAGGACCTGAAATGGCAGTTTTATTTAGCATAGTTGACTATAGCCATTGCCTGACAGTAATACCCACAGTCATTTACTTGCCAGCTTCCACTTCTTCACTAAACCCTAAGTAACAGCAGCAAATGTTATAAAATAATTTACTCTGTGCTCAAATCAATGTGTTACATAATAAGATACCTATGCTATTTAAAGCTTTGGTTACTATCAGTAAATATGGTATCGATGGAATATGACTCAAAACCAAACCATAATATGTACACTAAAGAATATTTAAATAAACTCATTTTATCAAGAGAGTAACACCCCCCCCAGAAATGCAAGGATAATTCAGCATACAAATCAATAAATGTGACACATCACATAAATAAAAGCAAGGACAAAAACAATGTGATCATCTCAGTAGATGCAGGAAAAAACTTAGACAAAATACAAATCTTTTCATGATAAAAACAATGATGAAAATAAGTATAGAAGAACCTTATCCTAATCTGATAAAGGCCATTTATGACAAGTCTATTGCCAACATCATATTAAATGGAGAATAATTGAAACTTTTCCCTTGAAAATCAAGAACAAGACAAGGATGTCTACTATCACTACTTTTGTTTAACACAGTACTAGAAATTAAGGGCAGGGGCCAGGGATTTAGCTCAGTGGTTCAGTGGCCTGGCTTGCAAGCACAAGGACCCGAGTTCAATCCTTAGTACCAAAAAAACAAAAAAAAACAAAAAAACAAAAAACAAAACAAAACAAAAAAAACTATATAGAAATTAAGAGCAAATAAGCAAGAAAAAGAAATAAAAAGGAAATGTACAGGAAAGGATGAAGTCAAATTACCATTATTTACAGATAACATTCTATACATAGAAGACTAAAAAATCCATCAAAAGACACTTTGAATTAATAACCAAATTCAGTAATATACATATAAAACCAATACACAATACTGTTTGTGTCACTAAGAAAGAAATTACCCACTGAGAAAGAAATTAAGAAAAATGCCATTCATAATAGCACCAAGGAAATTACTTACAAATAAACCTAAGGAAGTGAAAGACCTCTACAGTGTAAACTACAGAGCTCTGAAAAGTAAATCAAAGAGGACATCATAAAATGGAAGATATCCCCTGTTTCCCAGGAAATGGGGCAAGTTCCTGGTACACAGAAACAATATTGGGTCTAAAGGTCAAAGTGGGAGACATTAGCATCTGGGACCTAAAGTAATACTACAAAACGACTGTGAGAAAAACAGCACGACACTGGCACAAAAAACAGACATGAGGATCAATGGAACAGAAGAGAGAATGCAGAAACAACTCCATGTACATTCAACTACTTGATCTTTGACAAAGGAGCCAAAAGCATACACTGGAGGAAAGAGAGCCTCATTAATATATGGTGTTGGGAAAACTGGCTGTCCACATATATAAGATTGAATCTAGACCCTCATGTCTCACCATGTACTAAACGAAAATCAAAGTGGATCAAAGAACTATATGTTAAAACAGAAACACTTAACCTGCTGGAAGATAAAATAGGTAAAACTCTTTAAGTCAGTCATAAGCAAAGACTTTCTGGAAAATAGTCTCAAGAATCAACAAATGGGATCACATCATATTAAAATGCTTTTAAGCACCGTAAAAGAAACAACCAACAAAATGAAGCGACAGCATACAGAATGGGAAATTGCCAGCAATTTCTCAAAGGACTCATTCCTAAAATATATAAAGAACTAAAAACATTTAGACCCATAAAATAAAGATCCAATAAAAAATGAGCAAGCAAAATGAATAGACACTTCAAAGAAGTACAAATGGCCACTATATATGTGAAGACATGCTTTATATCATTGGCCATTAGAAAAGTGCAAATTAAGACAACACTGCCATTCCCTCTTCTCAGGAAGAATGGCTTACATCAAGAAATCAAATAATAACAAATACTGGAAAAGCTATGGGGGAAAAGGAACGCTTCTACACTGCTGGTGGGAATGTAAGCTGGTACAACCACTATGGAAATTATTGTGGATATACATGAAACTAAAAATTCCATTTGACCCAGCCATTTCCCTTCTCAGCATCTTCCTAAAAGAGTTAAAGACGTCTTATTACAGTGATCCATGCATACCCATGGTTACAGCAACACAGTTCCTAATATCGAAATCTTGGAAGTGCCCTATATATCCATCAGCAGATGAACGGATAATGAAAATACGGTGTTTACACACAATGGAGTACCACTCAGCCACAAAGAAAGACGGATACACTTTGAGACCATAACATTACGTGAGGTAAATCAGACATACAGGTTTACACATGACACTGTTTTGCTTATACGAAAAACAGAAAAGTATTTATTGTATATAAATAAAAAATAAAATAATAGATAGATAATATGAAGTGGGGAGATAGATCTTTTTCAAAGGGTAAGGGGACCGAGAGAGGAGAGAGGAGGGGGAAAAGGAAGGGACAGGTGATGAGAAAATGAATTAATACTTATCATATACATGTATCAAGTACACATAAGGAATGTAAGCATTCGATACTGCAAATATGTATTGCAAAAGTAAGGGAATCAAATAGGTAGAGTGGGGTGGGACAGAGGAAAGGGGGATCAAAGGGGAATTAATCTGTATTATGTACATGTACCGACCGCCCCACAAGGAATATAAACATCATGTACTACACACATGCACTAACAAAAATGTCTTAAAGATTAACACCATGCTCTACACCACAACATAAAGTATGAATTGCTAGGTCCTACTTCAAATTTAAGCGAATCAAAATTTCTGATCCCAGATATATACATTTCAATAAGTGCTACATTCCATTCTTATATACACTAAGTTTGGGAAAGAAAACTCTTTTGATCCCACATTTCAAAAATGTGGGATGTTGGACCAGAGATTTAACTCAGTGGCCCAGCATCTGCCTGGCAAGTGCAAGGTCCTGAGTTCAAGTTCGATCCCAGGTACTAAAAAAAAGTGGGATGTCAACCTGATTGATACTAACAGAAGTAGAGAGTTGGAAATAACTTTAGAAATTATATTTCTCAACTCTACATTTAAGAAAATATCCTTGTCTCAGTGTCTTGGACAGGTATAGTTTGCCCAGATTCTGTAAACTAGTGCTAAGACCAGGGTGGGTAAATTATACTCACCTTGGTCTGACACACCCCATCTCAAAGGGATGTGAGAATGTAAAGTAGTACAATCACTGTGGAAATCAGTGTGGAGATTCCTCAAAAATCTGAAACTAGAAGTTCCATTTGGCCCAGTTATTCCCCTTCTTTGTATACACCAGTGGTCATCGAAGATGGCTGACACATCCCACTTATATTTTCCCTTATCTGAACACAAAGATGTGCATTTCTTAATTTGCACATCATTTGGAATCACTTCCTCATACTTCTAGGCCAAGCTTCTCTGGTTTATCAGAGAGCATCTTGAAATATGTCATACAATGTTATCTGTGGAGATGGAAATTGGCTAGCCATCCCTCACCTAAGTCCTGACAAATGGTAAGAGAAACATGGAAGGAGGAAGAAGAAGAAAAAGAGACTTGAAACAGGACTTGCAATCAGCAAAGAATCAGATCTTTTATGGGGAAACCTTGAGGGATGTCTAAGACACATTGCAGATACTACTGAATAAATGGGAGACACTGTCACAACAGTGCACAGTCGTCCTTCAAACTACTGCTAGGTCATCTACGCGAGTGGATATTGATTGTAGCCGAAGAGACACATTGCAGATACTACTGAATAAATGGGAGACACTGTCACAACAGCGCACAGTCGTCCTTCAAACTACTGCTAGGTCATCTACGCGAGTGGATATTGATTGTAGCCGAAGATGGTAAATCTCAATTTAAGTGATTAAGAATTAGATGAAAGGGTAGGCTGTGGAGCTATTTGATAATTCATCATACCTCAAGAAGGTCTTGGAAATGCTTTCTGAAAAATGTCAAACTTTATTTTTAAATCACTGCAGAAGATAGTACAACTAAAATGGTTTGTGCAGAAAAATAGAAAAATGAATTTTTTAAACAAGATGGAGAGAAGCAAAACAAAGCATAATAGCATGTTTACACATATAAAATGGTTATATTTTGTTGAAAATAGAATAGAAAAATTTTGTAAAATTTCAACGACATGATGTTTTCAGGGAACACGACATCAAACATGAAACGTAGAAGTTTGCAAACATGATCAAAAAAGGAAGAAGAAGCAGAAATAGGAACATATAAACTGGGCACTTTTTCTATTCTGTATGACTGTTTAAAGATCACTGAGAACAATT